GCCTCCAGTCCCCTAATCATCTTTGTTGCTCTTCTCTGTACTCATCTAGAGTCTCAACATCTTTTTTACATCGCGGTGACCAAAACTGGATGCAGTATTCCAAGTGTGGCCTTACCAAGGCATTGTAAAGTGGTACTAACACGTCACGTGATCTTGATTCTATCCCTCTGTTAATGTAGCCTAGCCCTGTGTTGGCTTTTTTGGCAGCTGCAGCACACGGCTGGCTCATGATGAGGGATGCTGGAGATCACATAACTCCTTTGCACTTGGAAGGGGGTACTTCCAACCAATAGTGATCCACTGGAGAAAATCATCCTGACAGAAGAATTACTGTATTTATCGGCGTATAACACGCACTTTCCCCCCCTGAAAATAGGGGGCAAATGATGTGTGCGTGTTATACGACGATATAAGCTCTCCGCCGCCCGGCCCCACCTTGGCCCGGGCAGCCGCGGCCCTTCGCCGCCCGGCACTACCTTGGCCTGGGCAGCCGTGCCACTTCCCCATCCTGCTGCCGCTGCCGCCGAGCTCTCCGCCGCCCGGCCCCACCTCGGCCCGGGCAGCCGCGGCCCTTCGCCGCCCGGCACCACCTTGNGCGCGTTCGTACGGTCTCTCTAGGAATCGGGATGGAAGGCTCGACTGTCCGCTCCCCCCCCCCTTGAACGCTCCAATAATAGGGGATCGGACAAGTCTGAACTATAAAGAGCGGCGCCTAACAAATATACGCTGGACTCCAGCACCCATCTTGCTCAGTTATGGGCGTTGGAGTCTGAAATGGGACAGGATCTCCTGCTCGAGCGAGGGGTTGGACTGGAAGGCATGCAAGGTCCCTTCCTGTCCACTATTTGAGTGGACAGTCCGCTTTTTTCACATTATGTTGACTATTTTTTTTCACAAAATAGTGGGCATTTTTTTTATTCAAAAGCTTTATGATGAAATGGTACGTAATCTAAAGCTGTACAGTCTACTTTTTTTTACTACTTAACCCCCTCCCCCCGTTTGTCCACTATTTTTTGGAAGCAGACCTGGCAACCCTACTCTGTTCTGATTGATTTGAGCTTGCAACTTGCCAGGTGCCAGGCTGCAAGAAGGCTGATTTCATGGGTGGGGGGTGATTTGATCTTTTTTGAAGGCACCTGGCTGGATTGAATGTTCAGAAGGCTCGACAGTTGGGAAAGCAAGGGCTTGAGTCTTTCGTGTCTCTTTCTCTTTAATTTCAGCTGGGTTAGCCATCCAGAGTGGCTTAGTGGGGCTGCCTGGTTCCTTCAGCGAGAAACCACCTCGTCTCCTCTCCTTGTGTAGCTGCACATCAACTTTCTTCAGCATATGACAGTGGTGGCGAACCTATGGCACGCGTGCCAGAGGCAGTACTCAGAGTCCTCTCTGTGGGCCTGCACGCCATGCCCCCGGAGATGGCAAATGTCCCTCTTCAACCAGCCGCCCGCTAACTCGCTCATGTGGCCAGATGCATCCCAGCACCCATGCGCTCACTGGCCTCTGTGTGCAGCGGCTGATGGTGTCAGGCAGCGGCTGCCCCGGCCCCTGCCTCACTTTGCCCTGTGACAATGGCAGCCTTGCCTTGCCTCGCCTCACCCAGCAGGACGAGTCTCCTGCCCACCACCCCACCTGCCAGAGACCCCCTGGATCTCCCCCAACCCTGCCCGGCCTCCATAGCCGTCCCTCCCCACAAGCAACATCAAGATGATCACACCCACCTTGGCCACACCCACCCAATCTGCCACGACCACCACAGCCACGCCCACACATTGGGCCACGCCCACCTGGCACCCGGCGATAAATAAGTGGGTTTTGGGTTGCAGTTTGGGCACTCGGTCTCTAAAAGGTTTGCCATCACTGGCATATGATAAGCAGAGAATTAGAAGTTAAAAGATCTGCCAGCAAACCTCAAAATAAATGTATAGAGAGAAAAAAAAACCCTCTCGGTTTGCATTTGACACTTGGGCTAAAATTAGTTAAGAGCACTTCGTTGGCTCCCTCAAAGAAATGGAATCCCTTCGATATAAGGAGAAATCACAGTTTGACCCCCTCTGACTTGGTTACCTCAGATTCGTTTGAGAATAAAGTGCATAGACACCTTAGGGCCCTACAGAGCAAGGATTCTTCACCAATCCATGAGAGATGGTGACTGAGGGGCTGAACAAGCTCCAGAATTCATCCCTGATGCTATGAGGGAAAGAGTGCCCCACATGATGATGATGATGATGATGATGATTATAATAAAGTTGGAAGGGACCTTGGAGGTCATCTAGTCCAACCCCCTGCTCAGGCAGGAAGCCCTATACCATTTCAGACAAATGGCTATCCAGTCTCTTCTTAAAAACTTCCAGTGTTGGAGCATTCACCGCTTCTGGAGGCAGGTTGTTCCACTGGTTAATTGTTCTAACTGTCAGGAAGTTTCTCCTTAGTTCTAGCTTGCTTCTCTCCTTGATTAGTTTCCATCTGTTGCTTCTTGTCCTGCCTTCAGGCGCTTTGGAAAATAGCTTGACTCCCTCTTCTTTGTGGCAGCCCCTGAGATACTGGAACCCTGCTATTATGTCCCCCCTCATCCTTCTCTTCAGTAAACTAGACATACCAAATTCCAGCAACCGTTCCTTATATGTTTTAGCCTCCAGTCCCCTGATCATCTTTGTTGCTCTTCTCTGTACTCTTTCTAAAGTCTTAACATCTTTTTTACATCGTGGTGACCAAAACTGGATGCAGTATTCCAAGTGTGGCCTTACCAAGGCATTGTAAAGTGGTATTGACACTTCACGTGATTTTGATTCTATCCCTCTGTTAATGCAGCCTAGCTCTGTGTTGGCTTTTTTGGCAGCTGCAGCACACTGCTGGCTCATGATGAGGGATGCTGGAGATCACATAACTCCTTTGCACTTATGGGGGTACTTCCAACCAATAGTGATCCACTGGAGAAGATCATCCTGACAGAAGAATTAAATCGGTGGAACTGCTTTTGCCTTCAGAAGTTGTGGGTGCTCCAATTCTGGAAGTTTTAAAGAAGAGACTTGACAACTATTTGTCTGAAATAGTGTAGGGTCCCCTGCTTGAGCAGGGGGTTGGACTAGAAGACCTCCAAGGTCCCTTTTAACTCTATTATTCTGTAGTCTGTTTCTGGAGCTCTGTCTTTCAGTTGGTTTATTGTTAGCAAGACAACTTCACACATGAGAACCCTCTCGTCTTGTGCTTTCCTCTATTCTAAATAAGGGGAAAAAAATTCCTATCTTCATGCCTTTCTTAATAAATCTAGCTTTTGTCTCAAATATAATGAACCCCCGTGGCGTTCACTGACAGCTGGGCTATATACTGCATATGTAAAACAAATTAACATTTTTAACTTGACAACTTATGATCCCTTTTGGATCATCCTTCTTTCCACATCTAGAACTGGTGGATTCTGCTCACAGAACAGAGAGTAGTTGTGGACAAGAGGGCCTTTGTACAGCTTCAATTGGTGCACCAGTTGCAAATAATGTAATATTTACACTATAAAAATATAAACTTTTTTTTAAGCCCAAAGGCATCCCAATTAATTGGGTGATACATTTTTGTTTTATTTTGGTTTTTTAAAAAAATTTTAATAGAGATGCTTATGAGAACTGCAACCAATGAGCATCCATTTTTGAAAATGTGCTCCCGCCCTTCCTGTCACCTTCTACAAAGTACTATAATGGGATCCAAGGCCAAAAGACAGACATCTGCTCTTGTTATGATTTTAAGATGATTTAATTGTATGTACATCTTCTTGTGCCATATCCATTATCGGACGTTGGCGATCATGTTGGCAATCCTGTTTTTATCATATGGTATGTTTTTATTTTATGTAAATATTGGCAGATTTAATTTCTAAACAGCTGTCTGAATTGCACTGAATTGAATTGCACTGAAGACTCAGATTTCAATTCAACACACCTCTACATCTGGACACCTGGACATACACTCAGTGGGGGCTGGCTGAGTTTTGAATAGCCAGGATAGTAGCCCAGAAAGCCCGAATCTTTCCATTCCCCACCATCCAGTCTGAGCTGAAGAAGCTTCTTGGATGAGAAGCGAAATGTCTTCAAAAAAAACCCAAGAAAGTCCAGTTGCCTCTTGAAAAAAGCACCTTTGGGACCTGAACCTATTTCCACCTTACATGTTCTCAGGCAGAGCTGTGTGCCCACATACTGTTAAGGGTGAGAAGTGAAATATACATGCTTGGAAGACCGAAACAGGGCCTAAAGTTGGGTATTTAAAATAACACACAGAGGGGTGGTCATGAGGTATAACGGAAGATAAAACTGAGTTTTAAAAGCAAGAACTTCTTGATTAAAACAAAATATAAAGCAAACATTAATGGGATTAAAAAAAATTGCAAAGCTTGTCTTTTTGTCAGATGTCCTAATGGGAGACTTTTTCTTCTAGTGCCGTGGTGGTGAACCTATGGCGCGCGTGCCACAGGTGGCACACAGAGCCCTCTCTGTGGGCACGCAGACCGTCGCCCCAGTCCTAGGCCTTCAGCTGGGTTTTATAAAACCTTTTTGCTTTAGTCCCCCGCTGCCGTGTAAAAAAAAAAAAGGTTCAATCAATCAATCAATAAATTTCAACTTCTCGCGGGAAAAAAAAGATCTCGCAAAGTTGGAATTGATTGAACTTTTTAGTCCCACTCAGTTTGCCATTACCACCAAAGCCACGCCCACCCAATGGGCCACACCCACCCGGCACCCAACGATACATAAGTGGGTTTTGGGTTGTAGTTTGGGCACTCGGTCTCTAAAAGGTTCGCCATTGTGGACCACTTACTCTTCTTCCTTCGAGCCCTGAGAATCACAATCACCTTTGCAAATTAACGAAGGCCAATTCTTGGTAGCCTTTGGTTATAACCATCCAGCAATGCACATTTGCTATTGACACGCTTGGTTATTGACGCCCAACAAGTCCCAAGTCAGACCATCAAAGTCCAACAGTTCCTAAATTGACCCTCTTCCTTGAGTAGCCACGCCCACCTCAGCCAAATGAGTCTTCTCGTGTTTCGTCAGTTTTGACCTCTGCGTGTAACTCTTCCCACAGACCGAGCACCGATAGGGCTTCTCACCAGTGTGAGTCCTCAAGTGGAGCGTCAGCCCCGAGCTCTGGCTGAAGCTCTTCCCGCAGGCCGGACACGCGTAGGGCCGCTCCCCGGTGTGGGTCCTCTCGTGTTTGATAAGGCCCGAGTGATGCCGGAAGCTCCTCCCGCAGACCGAACACTTGTAGGGCTTCTCCCCGGTGTGGGTTCTCTCGTGAGCAATCAGCGTCGAGTTGTGGCTGAAGGAGCGGCCGCACTCCGAGCAGGTGTAGGGTTTCTCTCCGGTGTGGGTGATCTCGTGCCTCACCAGATCGGAGCTCCGGAGGAAAGTCTTCCCGCAGTCTGAGCACCGGAAGGGTTTGACTCCCGTGTGAGTTTTCTCGTGCAAGATCAGATTGGACCTTTGGCTGAAGCTTTTCCCACAATTGGTGCACGAGTAGGGTCTCTCCCCGGTATGGATTCGCTTGTGGAACCGAAAAGCTGAGCTCTTATTAAAGCTCTTCCCGCACGTTGGGCACCGGTAGGTCTTCTCTCCGCCCTGTTCCAAGATGGGAAGACCGCCCCTTGGATGGTACCCTTGCCCGCTGCTCACGGAAGGACACAATTCCTCCTCAGTGTGGATCCTCTCATGCTTCACCAAGCTGGAGTAGACAGTAAAGTTTTCTCCACAGGTTACACACCTGTAAAGCTCTTCTTCTCGATCAAAACTTTCCTGCTTTGTAAGAACCGAGTTCTTCCTGCAGTCTGAACATCGTGAAGGCTCGTCCCCATGCGTGGCTGGGCTTAAGCTGTGATGGGGGCTTTTCCCACCGCTCGGACAGCTGCAGGATTGCTCGCCTTTGAGGATGCGTTGAAGGTTAGGGAAGAGCACCCTCTGGCTGGGGGTGGCCGCAGAGTCTAAGGACTTACAACATTTGGTATCTATTGAGGCATCTGGACTGTGGCCCAGCTTATTCTCCTCCCTTCTGCAGGACTCCAGTTTCTCCGACGTGGACCTTGGTTGCCTGCGAGTGGTGAGTCCGTCCTCTTGCAAAACATACATTTTATCATTTTGAAGTGGGATGCCCTCACGCTTTCCGTTCCTCCAGGAAATGCTTCTCTCTCTTCCAGGCAGCGTCTGGCAAACCTCTGCTTGCTTTTGAGTTCCCGCAGGAGAAATCTCTCGTTCGCAAGATTCCTCACTGTCTCCTAAAAAAGAGACAAAGATTTAAAAAAAACCAAATACAGGTACAAATACAGATTAGGTGAGACCTGGCTTAAAAACAGTAACTGTGAGAGGGACCTTGGAATCCTGGTGGACGATCACTTGACTATGAGCCAGCAGCCAAAAAAAGCTAATACAATCCTGGGTTGTATAAACAGAGGCATACAATCAAGATCACGCGAGGTATTAGTACCGCTTTATAAAATCCCTAGTAAGACCACACCTGCAGCCAATTTTGGTTACCATATCACAAAAAAGATGTTGAGACCTTGGAAAAAAATCAGAGAAGAACAACGAAGATGATCAAAGGCCTGGAGACTAAAACATACGAAGAACGGCTGCGGGACTTGGGTTTGGCTAATCTAGAGAAAAGAAGAAATAGGGGAGACATGATAGCAGTGTTCCAGTATCTGAGGGGCTGCCACTAGGCAGAGGGGGCCAGGTTGTTCACCAAAGCACCAGAGGGAAGGACGAGAAACAATGGATGGAAACTGATCAAAGAGAGAAGCAACCTGGAACTAAGGAGAAACTTCCTGACAGTGAGGACAATCAACCAGTGGAACAGCTTGCCTCCAGAAATCGTGGGTGCTCCATCACTGGAGATTTTAAAGAAGAGACTAGACAGTCACCTGTCTGAGACGGTATAGGTTCTCCTGCTTGAGCAGGGGGCTGGACTAGAAGACCTCCAAGGTCCCTTCCAGCTCTATTCTATTCTAAATCACACACAGTTCTGGAAAGGGTAAAGGTAAAAGTTTTCCTTGTTCAGTTGTGTCTGTCTCTAACGGGCGGTGCTCTTCTCTGTTTCCTAGCCCAAAGTGTTGTCCTAAGACAGAGGTAGGCCACCTTGGCTCTTTTATGACTCGTGGACTTCAACTCCCAGAATTCCTGAACCAGCCATGCTGAGGGGGAAAGGGAGAGGTTTCCAAGCTGAGCCATGATGGCTCAGGAATTCTGGGAGTTGAAGTCCACGAGTCGTAAAAGAGCCAAGGTGGCCTACCCCTGGGCTAGACACTCACGTACCGCAGAAACCTGTGCTGTTTTCTCGCTCATCTTTGCTAAGTTGGGTCTGCCGCGAATCGAAGAGAACGCGTCCAGCTTTGGGGATATTGCAGGATGCATCTTCAAATGGAGCCCATACCTGAAACGGAGACAGAAATCAAAGAGAGAGAAAAATCAAGGATGTTGGAAGCGAGAGGCAGGATATTGCATTCCTAGACTTTCCAAAGGAAATTTGTACGTGGCCTCCAATCCAGAACTGAAAAGGACATTTCTGGAAGGAATTTTTCAGTTACTGTACTTTTATTTTGAATCCTCTGCCCCTTTGAACTGCCCAGCGGCTTCAATCTACTCCTCCGATCTGCTTTAATTATATCAAGGACGGACAATCCAGGAGCAACCATGCTCATGATTAGGCCTTGAAGTTTAATTCAATTTCTCTCTCCCTCTCTTTGCTTAATAAGCAATTCTCTTTCTCCCCCCACCCTTCCCTCTTAAATATTTTGGCCTGGTCCATCCCGATGATAAGTTTGGCTCCCTGCTCCCTTCAGCAATGTCTTCTCCAGGTAGAATCTAGAAAGCCGGTGTGAATTTCTCTCTACTACAATTGACACCTAATGAAATCAAAGCAGATTTATTTTTAAGCTTCTTTCTCACAATTTTTCTTTTTCAAAGTACAGTATCATTTTTGGTAACTGCCCTTTAAGGGTCTGACCTTCTCCACCTTCCTCTCAAGAGTCAGCCGGATACTCCATTGTACTTTTTTTTTTTGAATTTTTTTCCCTTCTTGGAATCTGTTCCAATTTTTCTGAACCTTATTAAAGTAGTAGTAGTAGTAGTAGTAGTAGTAGTAGTAGTAGTAGTAGTAGTAATAATAATAATAATAATAATAATAATAATAATAATAATAATAATAATAATAATAATGATAAAGTTGGAAGGGACCTTGGAGGTCATCTAGTCCAACCCCCTGCTCAGGCAGGAAACCCTATACCATTTCGGACAAATGGCTGTCCAGTTTTTTCTTAAAGACTTCCAGTGTTGGTGCATTCACCGCTTCTGGAGGCAGGTTGTTCCACTGGTTAATTGTTCTAACTGTCAGGAAGTTTCTCCTTAATTCTAGGTTGCTTCTCTCTTTGGTTAGCTTCCACCCGTTGCTCCTTGTCCTGCCTTCAGGCGCTTTGGAAAATAGCTTGACTCCCTCTGCTTTGGGGCAGCCCCTGAGATAGTGGAACACTGCTATCATGTCCCCCCTTGTCCTTCTTTTCATTAAACTAGACATACCCAATTCCAGCAACCGTTCCTTATATTTTAAACATATATAAGAATCTCAACATCCTTTTTACATCGTGGTGACCAAAACTGGATGCAGTATTCCAAGTGTGGCCTTACCAAGGCATTGTAAAGTGGTACTAACACTTCACATGATCTTGATTCTATCCCTCTATTAATGCAGATAGTGTACAGATAGTCCTTGACTTATGACTACAGGTGAGAGCAAAAGTTCTGTTGTTAAGCAAGATAGTTGTTAAGTGAATTTTGCCACATTTTACAAGCTTCCTTGGCACATTTGTTAAGTGAATCACTGCAGTTGTTAAATTAGTAACACAGATGTTAAGTGGATCTGGCTTCCCCGTGGACTTTGCTTATCACAAGGTTGCAAAAGGGGAATCACATGACGCCGGGACGCTGCAACCGTCATAAATACATGCCAGTTGCCAAGCCTCTGGATGTTGATCACATGACCACAGGGATGTTGCAAACGCTTGCAAGTGTGAAAAATGGGTCATAAGTCACTACCGTATTTTTCAGTGCCATTGTAAGTTTGAATGGTCACTAAACAAAGGCTTATAAGTCGAAGACCACCTGTAATATTTCAAGTGGTCAGAGGGACCAATATTTCTCACAATAGAATTAATGCATGAAAATATAAATATAAATCCGAGGAGTGGATTAGGTTAAACTGCCGAACCCCTTTTAATTTCCCTCCCCACAACCGCTCGCCCTCACCTCGTCTTTGTGATTCTGGTCCTCCCTTTGGAGGAACTCCTCGGCCAGGCCCACCGCTTGGGCGCAGGTCTCTGCCCCCCACTTTCGGACCCAGCTCTGGATCTCTGCGGGAAGGATGGCCAGGAACTGCTCCAGGATCAGCAGCTCCACGATCTGCTCCTTGGTGTGCTTCTCCGGCTTCAGCCACCGGTGACAGAAGTCTCGAAGCTGGACGCAAGCTTCCCGGGGCCCCTCGGCTTCTTTGTAGCAAAAATGCCGAAAACGTTGACGCTGCCACTCCTGGCAGCTGGCTTCCTCCCGCAAGATGGCCGCCCTCATTTTCCCATCAGTCTCCTGGACGTTGAGGTTTCCATTAGCCTTCTCGGCTTCTCTGGGGCCAGGCGGCCAGCGGCTTCCCCACCCACACGCCTCTTCCACCCCCTCTAAGCCATCCTTAAAGGCCTTGAGGTCCTCCTGCCGCATGGCGGGCTCCGACAGCTGTGGTTTGCTCCGGTCGGATAAAAGGGCCCAAAGTTTCCTTTTTGGGGATTCCTGCCATTGAGGCATCAGAGTTTGGGGTCGCCCTTCCTCTGGCTCAGCCTTAATCTGTGTGCCCAAATGGTTGGGTCTGGGATGCGTTTTCGGGGCTGGTCCCAATTCCGCCCTCGGCTGCTCCTTGTTGAGTCCCTCTTCCAGGTTATCGGTCATTTTTCTTCCAGGTGAGATGATTTTGGCTCAAGGCTAAGTTGGCTCTTCCACTCCGTAGCAGCCAGCATCCCAGAAAACTTTCTATCCAGCTTTTTTGGTCTTGCGGTGGGTCTTCTGAACAGGTTGGCAGGTCAAGCCAGTGCGTCTCCTACAGGTGATCTCTTGGGCTGAGATTCTCTGCTGAAAAGAGACACAATGCAGCAAGTTTAATGTGTTGTGCAGACCCGATGTCAACGCTGCAAATACTGTATATTCTTGCTTTGACAATATGCAGAACTGTCTGGTATTTTTATAGTTAAATCAGGCAACAGTGAAAGCCCAGGAAAAAGAAACCGGAAGTAAATCACATCTTCCAAGTTAATTGGAAGATGTGAACCATGACCCCAAAATAGGGGCGGGGAAAAATTATTAGAATGTATGTGTAACCGGAAGGAATCCAGATCTAAGCATTTCCACCATGCTGTACTGACGTCTCTGTAACCTTAATAAATGCTTTTAGGAAAAAATATGCCTGAAAGTCCTTTTAAGTGTTTCGTTAATCAGACACATGACACCCGGCACATTGTGGGTTACTCAATAATCCATGATTAAACAATGATCGCTCAGCACAGTGTGTGAAACCAGTCATCAAAAGGAATGTGTTCTCTTACCTCACATAATGTACCAGTTTCCATGGCTAATCATATCCTTTCTATGGGATCCACTGAAGACAACCCACTCATCATGGATTTGATTAGTCTAAAGAAAAGAAGAAATAGGGGAGACATGATAGCAGTGTTCCAGTATCTGAGGGGCTGCCACAAAGAAGAGGGGGTCACGTTATTCACCAAAGGACCAAAGGGAAGGACGAGAAACAATGGTTGGAAACTGATCAAAGAGAGAAGCAACCTGGATTTAAGGAGAAGCTTCCTGACAGTGAGGACAATCAACCAGTGGAACAGCTTTGCCTCCAGAAATTGTGGGCGCTCCATTGCTGGAAGTTTTTAAAAAGAGACTGGACAATCACCTGTCTGAGATGGTATAGGTCCTCCTGCTTGAGCAGGGGGCTGGACTAGAAGATCTCCAAGGTCCCTTCCAGATTCTATTCCTATTCTATTCCTATTCTTACTCTACTCTACTCTACTCTACTCTACTCTACTCTACTCTACTCTACTCTACTCTACTCTACTCTACTCTACTCTACTCGCTATGCATCATCAAGCACCGAAGAAGCATTTTCATAAATTTGAAACTCTATATTATGGGTGTCAAACTCACCATGTGTCGCAACGTATTGCAACTTTTTTCGCATTGCCGGAGCTGGAGTGGGCGTGGCCTCTGCATGATGCAACCAGCCCGCAGGCCAGCAGTTTGATACCCCTGCTCTATATAGTACCATAAAACACTGATTTCTAAAATGGATATTTGTCCCTGGGAATTTTGATGCATAATCTTTGCTTGCACCAGATACACCCAATCTATATGGATTCTGGGTGGCATACAGGGGTTTTATGTAGATCAGGGGTAGGCAACCTTGGCTCTTTTATGACTCGTAAACTTCAATTCCTGGCTCAGGAATTCTGGGAGTTGAAGTCCACGAGTCATAGAAGAACCAAGATTGCCTACCCCTGATGTAGATACTAAAAACGCAATCATTGTCAGCCCCACTTGGTAGACCAGAGCAAAAATAAATAAATCAACTCTATAAGAAGAGCAAACCTCCTTTTATTGAAACTGGCTGTAATAACAGGAACTTGCAAGTCTGATTGTACTGTCCCTCTTCCTCCCCCTTCTTATACTCCAGTGCAGGGGTAGGCAACCTTGGCTCTTTTATGACCTGTGGACTTCAACTCCCAGAATTCCTGAGCCAGCCATGCTGAGGGGGAAGGGAGAGGTTTCCAAGCTGAGCCATGGCTGGCTCAGGAATTCTGGGAGTTGAAGTCCACGAGTCATAAAAGAGCCAAGGTTGCCTACCCCTGCTCCAGTGAATGAGGGAGGCCTCTGATCTGCTCCTGAATGTTATAGGTCAGTGATGGCGAACCTTTTAGAGATTGAGTGCCCAAAGTGCAACCCAAAACCCACTTATGCATCGTCGGGTGCCAGGTGGGTGTGGCCCATTGGTTGGGTGTGGCCTATGGGTGGGCGTGGCTGCGGTGGTAACAGCAGACTGGGTGGGACTAAAAAGTTCAATCAATCAATTCCAACTTTGCAAGATGTTTTTTTTCCTGCAAGAAGTTGAAATTGACTGATTGAACCTTTTTTTTTTTTTNTCTGGATCTCTGCGGGAAGGATGGCCAGGAACTGCTCCAGGATCAGCAGCTCCACGATCTGCTCCTTGGTGTGCTTCTCCGGCTTCAGCCACCGGTGACAGAAGTCTCGAAGCTGGACGCAAGCTTCCCGGGGCCCCTCGGCTTCTTTGTAGCAAAAATGCCGAAAACGTTGACGCTGCCACTCCTGGCAGCTGGCTTCTTCTCGCAAGATGGCCGCCCTCATTTTCCCATCAGTCTCCTGGGCGTTGAGGTTTCCATTAGCCTTCTCGGCTTCTCTGGGGCCAGGCGGCCAGCGGCTTCCCCACCCACAAGCCTCTTCCACTCCCTCCAAGCCATCCCTAAAGGCCTTGAGGTCCTCCTGCCGCATGGCGGGCTCCGACAGCTGTGGTTTGCTCCGGTCGGATAAAAGGGCCCAAAGTTTCTTTTTGGGGGATTCCTGCCATTGAGGCATCAGAGTTTGGGGTCGCCCTTCCTCTGGCTCAGCCTTAATCTGTGTGCCCAAATGGTTGGGTCTGGGATGCGTTTTCGGGGCTGGTCCCAATTCCGCCCTCGGCTGCTCCTTGTTGAGTCCCTCTTCCAGGTTATCAGTCATTTTTCTTCCAGGTGAGATGATTTTGGCTCAAGGCTAAGTTGGCTCTTCCACTCCGTAGCAGCCAGCATCCCAGAAAACTTTCTATCCAGCTTTTTTGGTCTTGCGGTGGGTCTTCTGAACAGGTTGGCAGGTCAAGCCAGTGCGTCTCCTACAGGTGATCTCTTGGGCTGAGGTTCTCTGCTGAAAAGAGACACAATGCAGTAAGTTTAATGTGTTGTGCAGACCCGATGTCAACGCTGCAAATACTGTATATTCTTGCTTTGACAATATGCAGAACTGTCTGGTATTTTTATAGTTAAATCAGGCAACAGTGAAAGCCCGGGAAAAAGAAACCGGAAGTAAATCACATCTTCCAAGTTAATTGGAAGATGTGAACCATGACCCCAAAATAGGGGCGGGGAAAAATGATTAGAATGTATGTGTAACGGAAAAGAATCCAGATCTAAGCATTTCCACCATGCCGTACTGACGTCTCTGTAACCTTAATAAATGCTTTTAGGAAAAAATATGCCTGAAAGTCCTTTTAAGTGTTTCGTTAATCAGACACATGACACCTGGCACATTGTGGGTTACTCAATAATCCATGATTAAACAATGATCGCTCAGCATAGTGTGTGAAACCAGTCGTCAAAAGAAATGTGTTCTCTTACTTCACATAATGTACCAGTTTCCATAGCTAATCATATCCTTTCTATGGGATCCACTGAAAGCAACCCACTCATCATGGGTTTGGCTAGTCTAGAGAAAAGAAGAAACAGGGGAGACATGATAGGAGTGTTCCAGTATCTGAGGGGCTGCCACAAAGAAGAGGGGGGTCACGTTATTCACCAAAGCACCAGAGGGAAGGACAAGAAACAATGGTTGGAAACTGATCAAAGAGAGAAGCAACCTGGATTTAAGGAGAAGCTTCCTGACAGTGAGGACAATCAACCAGTGGAACAGCTTTGCCTCCAGAAATCGTGGGCGCTCCATCGCTGGAAGTTTTTAAAAAGACACTGGGCAATCACCTGTCTGAGATGGTATAGGTCCTCCTGTTTGAGCAGGGGGCTGGACTAGAAGACATCCAAGGTCCCTTCCAGATTCTATTCCTATTCTATTCCTATTCCTATTCCTATTCCTATTCTATTCTATTCTATTCTATTCTATTCTATTCTATTCTATTCTATTCTATTCTACTCTACTCTACTCTACTCTACTCTACTCTACTCTATTCCTATTCTACTCTACTCGCTATGCATCATCAAGCACCGAAGAAGCATTTTCATAAATTTGAAACTCTATATTATGGGTGTCAAACTCACCATGTGTCGCAACATATCGCGACTTTTTTCGCATTGCCGGAGCTGGAGTGGGCGTGGCCTCCGCATGATGCAACCGGTCCGCAGGCCAGCAGTTTGACACCCCTGCTCTATATAGTACCATAAAACACTGACTGATTCCTAAAATGGATATTTGTCCCTGGGAATTTTGATGCATAATATTTATTTGCACCAGATACACCCAATCTGTATGGATTCTGGGTGGCATACAGGGGTTTTATGTAGATCAGGGGTAGGCAACCTTGGCTCTTTTATGACTCGTGGACTTCAATTCCTGGCTCAGGAATTCTGGGAGTTGAAGTCCACAAGTCATAAAAGAGCCAAGGTTGCCTACCCCTGATGTAGATACTAAACCACAATCATTGTCAGCCCTATTTGGTAGACCAGAGCAAAAAAATAAATCAACTCTATAGGAAGAGCAAACCTCCTTTTATTGAAACTGGCTGTAATAACAGGATCTTGCAAGTCTGATTGTATTGTCCCTCCCCCCCCCTTTTTTTTTAATACTCCATGGCAGGGGTAGGCAACCTTGGCTCTTTTATGACTCATGGACTTCAACTCCCAGAATTCCTGAGCCAGCCATGCTGAGGGAAAAGGGAGAGTTTCCAAGCTGAG